ATGCAAATGGAAAATAAGTAAGTTCTTAGCAGAAGAAGTAAAAATTAAAGTGATTATATTTAGCAAAGATTAAGAAGCTTAAGAACCAAAGAGTGTACAAAGTTAAAGAAGGGCTTTCATACTCCACAGGGATGTGACCTCACACGTGGTCACACACGGTCTACTGAAAATGATTTCTCCTACAAGATGTTAAGATCTTATATCTTATCCTAAAAAATCTACTTGTAGATCTTACAAAAACCATCCACATATACTCAAAAATACAGGTATAAAGACATACCTGCAAACATGTATGTACCACGAATGCTGCAGAGCTATGCACAATGACAGCAGAGAAGCACAGGCAGTATACTACTAAAATACATTTTCACAATTAAATGCTAAACTGTCCTATTATTCTAGTATTAAACTTCCAGACTAGGTTAGCCAGAGAATGCAATGACAGAAAAATAGTATTTAAATATCATTTTGTAATACTACTCAAATAACACTGCAACCAGAAATAAATTAGATACTTGGGCTAAAATAAGACAAAAGTTGATAAACCAATCTAAACTTTGGCTCATTTAAAAAGAAAAGTGTTGATTAGTCTAGCCAACTGATTTTACGTAAGCTGTGGAAACAGTTACTCATTACACCTACCATTCCACTTCACCTTACTTCAGGCAAAGGTCTGAGCTCCAAGATGCAGAACTAACACTCACAGAACTTACGATCTGCATTCTTTATGCAGACACAACTTGTGAAACTCTTTATATTTGACTATGTAATTAGCAAAATCCTGTTAAACAAAGAAAGCTATAATTACTAATGCCTGGGAATAAATTAAATACCCTGATTTCATTGAATATAATGTTGGCCATTAGGTCTTTCTGTTCTCATTTGACATTTCATACTCTAATGAATATATTTGTTGTTTTATTAAATATCTTTAAGGCACTACCTCCACCCAGGTTATTTATGACATTGGCTCCAACTGCTGTTCATGAAACAGATGTCTTGTGTTTAGCCTTAAGAATGTTTCTCAACACTAGGGATATGCAGGCCACAAACAAAAGAACACTTTCTTCCCTTTTTAAAGAGGGTTTAAGTCTAAGAATTTGTTCTCTCTATGTACGTTTATGTAGCAATACTATACTTACCCCTAGGTTCAAAGCGACAATCAATGAAATCTGGTTAACAGTGAAAATAACATGGAAAAGTGTATGTTGGACTATTATTATTTATTTAAGCAACATTTTGCCAAAGGTTTTTAAGAAATAACATCATTAAAAATTTTCCAAATCTTACACATGCAAATAAAAAGTTCTCTACAAGAGCAAAGGCAAAATATTCTAACTAGCAGGGCATGGTGGCACAAGTCTGTAATTCCAGCACTTTGGAGGCTGAGGCAGAAGGATTACTTTGAGTTCAAGGCCAGCCTGAACTACATAGAGAGGCACTTTCTCAAAAAAAAAAAAAAAAAAAAAAAAAACCCTAAGCAATCAACAAATGTAACAAAACATTTGTTATAAAATATAACAAAACATTTTGCTAGCTTAGTTGAATTTACATATTACATGCAGGTTCATGCTTTTAAAAGTTTAAAAAACATAACTGCTGATACTCTTTTTGATAACTATGAATCCTGGAATATATAATTGGTAAATGTAATGCAATCATTTGTTGATGATTTTCAAAGATGCTCTTACCATGCTGCCCAGGCTGTCTCCAAACTCCTGAGCTCACGATCCTCCTGCCTTGGTGGCCCCAACAGCTGGGACTACAGGCATGTGCCACCCCCTAGCTCTGTGCAGCTACTTCAACGACACACTTTTTGTTAGGTTAGAACTTGTACTGATTTTTCAAAATTTTTCAGTACATATTAATGAAGTCCAAAGAAATTCCATAATTTCATTACTAGAAATATTGTCCCTGTATCACTAATATTTTGGTTTATTACATAAGTATTACTAGTACAAATCAAAAGATAATTTCTCTTTATTTTTAATCAAAATGATAAATATGTAAACACATAAAATAATTTCAATCACACTCCCAAATTATAATGAAAATGTTTTTAGAGTTTACTTTTTCCCACTAATTTCACTTGCTTCAAAGCTGAGATACAAGTGGTGGAAAGAGAGGCAGAAAAAAAGTAGGAGGCCACCTTTTGTCTCTCAGACAGAAGCTTTGTTTCTCTCAATAAATATTTTCTGCTCTTAAAAAAAGTAGCTTTGTTTTTCTCAATAAATATTTTCTGCTCTTAAAAATGAAGTAGGAATTCAATTGCATTCTTACAGCAATTTGCAAAGGAAGGTGAGGTTAAAAGAAATACTACTGCAGGGCTAGGATTTAGCTCAGTGGTGTAAGCACCTGCTTGGCAAGCATGAAGTCATGAATTCAATCCCCAGTACAAAGACAGACAGAAAGACAGAAAGAAAGACAGACTACTGCAAAACCATTAGATGAATGCATATAGCCTCTGTCTTACAATGTTTATTAGGAAACTACTTCCCCTGGTGGGGTTGGGCGGGGGGCAGCACAGGGACCAAGCACTCACCAGAGCAAGGCACTAGACTAGGATTCCAGGGAGAAAGGAAAGGAGGAAAGAACGAAAAGAAAACATGAACTATTACCACATAACCAATTAAAATTTCCCAAAATCGCTCATTACTAATATATCAACACTTTGATTATCCATCGAAGTAATGTGCTAAAAATTGCCACTTAATTGATCCTTTTAAAAACAGAATTCTTTGGATTATTCTTGGATTCCTGCACTCTACCAATGAGTTATGTGCCTTTAGTCTACATGTTTAATCTAAAAAATTTCAGAAATATTTCTTTTCCATGATTCTAAAAACTACTAAGAAATACATTTAACATTTTTTCTAATATTTCTTAAGAAGATAAGTTTGTTGAAATATTTTTATTTTAACTCAATAGTAATTCAATAAATGCAAGAAAATTTTAAAAGGCAAAAAAGTTTCCTTTTGTAGGATTCTGATGCCTTTCAAGCTTTCTCATTTAAGATCTAGTCTTCTCTAATTCATTTCACATACTTAGGTCTAAACAAAAAAAATTAATTTACTGTAAAATGTGGTTTATTTTTGTAAAAATTAGCTATGAAAATGCTTTATAATAAAATAAATGATAAAACTTCATTTAAAACCTTTTATCCTACTAAATAATTTTTTCATCAAACCGGTTCCACATAACTAAAATATTTTTCTAAGCAATTTGTATCAGCTGACTGATGTGGCACATGACTGTAATCCCAGCACTTGGGAGACTGGACAGGAAGATCTCAAGTTTAAGGCCAGCCTGAACTACACGGTAAAATCTTGTTTCAAAATGGTAAAGGAGAAAAAAAGTTCATGATTAAAGTAAATTAAATTCATGAGAAAAGACACTGCCACAACATACTATAGCTTTCTTTTTTGTTTTTGGAATTATAATTTTCTATGGATTCTTTTGATTCAGCGATGTTAAAATTTAAACAAAAAGTTTTATTTGTCCTGAAGAGATTTCACAGCAACAAAATTTCTTCAATCATTTTCATTCTGAAGTGTCCTCAATTTTTTCTAAATCACATCTCTATAGGAATTTTTTGTATATCTACTTCTACAAAACTCAAGAGAAGCACAAAGTAGTTAAATACTACAGTAAAAGGAAAATTCCACATTCATAAAACAGGAGCTTTTAAAAAGAAATAGCTGGTTCCTACATTAAACAATTCCTGCGTGCATCTCGATCCTTTCCCCTGAACAGCAGCCTCGCCCGCCCTGGCCCGAGCTGCCTCTGGGTTACTCTTCCCTGCCTGGCTCACAGCTCTGCCCTCCTCAGGCTGCACTCCTCCCCACTCGCACTGCCCTTCCCTGCTTAGCTCTGGGTTTCTAAGAAGTCATCACTACAGAGCGGCTGTGAGAAGCAGCATCCAGCCTCTTACTCTCTCAGAAACATGTCTGCTCCCTTCTGACCTGGCACTAACTGCATCTTGCTGTTGTTCTCAACCTTTAAGTGACCTAACAAGTAAAGAAAATAGACATTAAATAACTTCGGGATAACAAAAAAAGAAAGAGAAAGAAAATGGAGCAACACCAGATTTTGTGAAGCTACACTGACAATTCAGTCTGTGCCTCCCTGTTTCTAGTGTACCTCAACAAAATTATAGAAGATATCTGTATTGACAATTAAAATTGCAATGCATTATTTCATCACAATTTTTAGCAGAACACAACCTCCTTTATCTGAGTATATTTTAGTGAGCTGTTTTTAATAATCAAAATCTAGAAAGTTTCATTACAAAAATATTTAATTCTATCTAATCTTAACCTCACCACATTTTGTAAGTGAAAAAGCATTAAGCTGGCAATAAGCCAAATGTCTTAACAGGCAATTAGTAGAACAGAGCGCCACTTACTGGTTTTTGGTTATTATTCACAGGATACTTAAAAGAGAAACATGGTAATAATTTTACTTCCTGAGATTGGTAATAAACTGTAATGGTATGAGTACATCTCCACTGAACACTGTAGCTGATAATCATCTTAAGAGTTACCTTTTAGTATTGAAATAGAGAATCAAAAACACATGTAAATCAAGAGAAAGTCAGATAAATTAATATATGGTTTGTAAGTAAAACAAACTTTCAAGCAAATGATTTTTAAGGAGCTATCCCTAAAAAGATAACTATGTTTTTCTCAGTTTTCTAGCTCCAAACAAATTGATAATTCACTGACTAGCTTGAACAAACAATTCAAAAATACTGACTCCAAAATAAATTATCCAAAAGACAAAAATCAAAAATTTAACAGTTAAAACAAGCAATTTAATTTCTAAAAGTAAACAAAATAATTTAAACTACATTCAAACTCAATGATCCCTTTATATGCACGTAACTGTCCCTCAATCCATGCTTTTACTTTTATAAATAAGCTAACAACTTGACAGAATCATTCTACTTTCAAAGGCCGAAACAGATCACTCTAGTCACCAAGGACACAGGGCTTAGTTACCTTGGTTTGGCTGCATGTTCATATTAGGTCGAGGGCCATAGTTTCCCATGGGCTGCCCCTGACTCATTGTCATTTGATTCTGTACTGGCACACTCTGTGAGGATGGCACGGAATGGTTGTAACCACCCATGGATCCATGGCTACTTGAAGGCATATTCATGGAACTGTTTGTCATATTGAGTTGATTGGGTCCAGGTCCTTGCATAGGCATATGGTTAGGTCCTTTGAAGAAAAATGATCGGAAGAAAATATAAAAGTTAAAAAGATGACTCATACAAAAATCCCTATAAGGCATTTTTTGCATCTTACAATAATAACACTAATTTGAGTATTAAATAAATAGCAAATAAATGATTTACACAAATGACAGCAAATACTTTGAGGTGAATGTTATTTCCTATTTAGAGATTAACAAGTTAGTATTTTTAAAAGCCTGTTCAAACTGTTTAAAAACTGTTCAAATAAATTAAAGTACATTCATTTAAAAAAAAATCAATGTGATAGTCACCAAAAAGAATGAGGTAGCTCTTTATGTACTGAGTGGATTGATGGTTTCGAAGAGGTGAACTCTTTGAGAGGGAAAGAAAGCTATAAAAAAATTTAGTATGTGCTAAATACTAATACTTGTGTTTCATAAAAAGAATAATAAGAAAACAGAAAGTACACATCCTTTCCTTAAGAAAGCATCTCTTCCAGGATTACCAATGCCTCTCTGGAACTATCTATCCTCTGATACCTTTTGATTTATGTTCCATAGATGTATATTAGGTGGTTTTTTAAAATCAATTTAACTTTCTTTATAAAGGAACTGTGACTAAAAGGTTACCTGGCCAAAAAAAAGGAGCTAGGGATTTAGCTCAGTGGCATAAGCACCTGCCTTGTAAGCAGGCGGTCGTGAGTTCGATCCCCAGTACCGATAAAAAAAAAAAAAAAAGGTTATCTGGCTACGATCAATTAGTACAAGTAGTTCTATAATTCAATTGCAAATACATCAAAACTAAAACAGGAAATTAGAACTACACGCAAATTTTTATTTGTAAAGATACTGGCTAGATGCTTTAAAGAAAATATAAATTACTGGCATTTCAATTTCCTACGGCTAACTATAACTCTATTGGTTAGGAGTCTGTTAATTATTGTTTTAGAAGATCACTATTTTGGACAACGTAGGCCCAATGGTTGTTTTAATTCTGTCTTATAAAAAGAATATACTTATTCCAAGTGACCTTACACAAAAGCCAAAAATGTCAGGTCAATGTGCTTTTCAAATGTTTTCTTGGTCTTAAGACTCCAATGTCATATGAGAGTTAAGTCAAAATCCTAACTAAAATTACTACCATATAAAGTCACAAAACTCTTATCCAACCTGCACAACTTGGCAAGAAGCTTTCTCCTGCAATCTAAAGAGCTGTTATGCTTTACTGTGAGTGGGCCATGGATGCTGTGAGCCCAAGCCCGAAGTGTGCGACAGCCACTGCCACATCACCTAGCCCTCAGGATCAGTCACACATCAGTCTTCTAAGTTGGGCCACCTGGACTCTTCAGCTACGTTCCCCTTTGTTTCTTTGACTATGTCACCCTTGGACACCCATGCTACCAACAGCACAGTAAATTGGAAAAGACACTATTCTAAGGATGCTAATTACTAATTTTTATTTATTTATTTTTGGTACCGAGGACTGAACTCACAACGTCATGCTTGCCAAGGAGGCGCTTATGCTAATTTAATTTTTAATTAACCTTTATTACTAATTGTATAATTTTTTTGCCAATAGAAAAATTTTTGTCTTTAGAAAGTAAAAATATTCTCACACTAAAGAGAATACTCCACCAAAAATAATGGCTGTGAGTTGTTGCCATTGCTACAAAAACAAAATAATTTAAAGATATGTTTCAGCAAAGAATAACCAGATAAGCATCCAAAGCTTTGAAAGATTAGCATTTTACAGACTTTGAAGTTAAAACAGTTAAGGAGAAAAGGGAAGGCCTTAATATGTAACAAAGCTTATATTATTTTCAGTTTAACTTTGCCTCAAAATCAATTTCCATATCTATATTACACTATTAAGACATTTCATAAAATCTAATTCACTTTTAATAATATCAATGAGAAAATACTAAATACAATAACACTTTAATGACTGTTTTATTTCTTCTCCCCATGTGTTTTTTTCCAATGGTACTGTTTCTGAAATTTTTAAGTAAATAAAAACTTAGGCAAATGTTGACGCATTTTTTTAAACAATTTTAATTCTCAAGCCGTGGCACAACGCCTCTTTTCCCCCAAAAGCTTCTAAAGCCAACTGGATTGCACAGTTTCAGACAGACTAAATTTAGCCAGTTCTGTTCATCAGAGGAATGCTGTGTGTCAGCTCCATCAAAGCCCAAGGGCAGCCTGATAAACACTGAATACAGGTCACGTAGCTCTGTAGCTAACAAACTCTAAGAGAGCTTGTACTCAGGGGCATTCAAAGCAGTTTTGTCATCAACAATCTAGTATCCCTTGAGCCCCCATGTCGTTTCAGTTGCTAAGCAACTCTGGTGTTAATGTCTTGGGGAGAAAAACTTACCAGGCATCTGGCCGTTCATCTGGTTCTGCATGTGTGGTGCAGGAGGACCCCCGCCTACCATTCCATCTGAAGGCATGTTGTGAGTGCGCGGAGGTGGGGGGGGCCCGCTCTGATTCATCACTCCAGGACCCATAGGCATATTCTGTGTGGGTGGCTGAAGGAAGACAGTTTAGCAAAACAAGACAAACAGTTGGACTAATATATTAAAGATGCATCTGGAATAACAGTTGCCTATATTATTAAATTGAATGGGATCAAAACAAATGATTTCAATTTCTTTTCATGCATTCTAAGCAGACTTAATATAATTTAATATCCTCCAAAAACTTTACAAAATAGTATAAAGCATCCAAATACCTTAAACAAAAGTAAACCACAATTACAGTGTATTTTAATTTATGAACCTTCAATAGTGAAATGAAAATTTTAACATTCTTTACAAACAGAATTCTCATTTATTTGTAAACCATTTCTAATGTGTCTTTGTTATTATTTAAATTATGTTTAAAAATTTAAGTCTTCTGCCATTGTGAACATTTGGATACATTTACTAATGATGGCTTTTACATGAAATGGTACATTGACAAAAAACAATACAAGGAACAAAGTCCTAAAAGATGATATATTTTTTATTGTCTGGTGGGTGCTTGGGGGAGAGGTAGCAATGGAGGAATGTTTTATAACACAAAGACAACAGTTCAGTTCAACATTTTTGTGCCAACTACTGCTATAGATTGGAAACATTACTGATGGCCTCCAAGGGTACAGAGACAGCTGCCTCAAAAGGATGCCGTTGGCAAATTTCCTAATGAAATTTTGAAGAAAACCACTGACTAACCTTGAGAGTTCACAAAAGGGCGAAAGGAAAATCATAGATGCACGATGGTCTGTAACACCTAGATCTCTTCTTGGGGATATTTTGGTGAGGAAACCAAAAGCTTAGTTTTTTCCCCAAGCACCTATTTTTTATTTTTTAATTTTTTGGTATAGGAGGATAAGAAGGTTATCATTTTTTTCCAAGTCTACTTTTGCCTCCTTTCTCTGCTTCTCAGTGATCTGAATATAATGTTCTATTCAGTAACTTCCTTCTACATTATCTGGCCATTGCTTATTATGCACCTTTCTAGATTTTGTGAGCACAGCTGTCTATGGCACACTCCTTTAGCCAGAACACCTAAGCATTCAAAATTCCAATCTAACCCCAGCTACAGAAATAACCAAGCACAATTCTAACAGTCAAACTCAGAAATTCTAATTTCTTCACTAGTAAATCTAGGTAACTGCTGTTTTTATTTTCTCATGAACTCTCACCTTACATTTTTATCTAACTAGTATCTTTTGGTTTTTCCTCCATATTGGGAAGTGAACTCAGGACACATGCTTGCCAAGCAGGCACTGTGTCACTGAGCTATATCCCCGGCCCTAATTTGTATCTTTAAACAATTACGCTTGTTCAGTTTTCACAAAGAAGTTCCTAATATTAACTCTTACTTTTAACTACCCTTATGTATCATCAAGCCTGCTTTACTCTTTGTAATTCAATCCATAAAACATCATTAGTCACTATTACCATCATGATCAAGAAACTTGTACCAACCTAATGCTCCTGCTAAGACAAGACATAAAATCCTAAACCAAGCATGGTAGCACACACCTGTAATCTCAGCACTCAGGAGGGTAAGGCAGAAAGAAAGATCACTGTGAGTTCAAGGCCAGCCTGCATTACATAATAAATTTGAGACTGGCCTGGAATACATAGTAAGACCCTGTCTCAAAGAAGCAAAAAAATTAATTAATTAAAATTAAATTTTAAAAAGGGGAGGAGGGCTGGTATGTAGTTCAGTGCAAAAACTCCAGGTTCAATTTCCAGTACTCCCACACCCTAAAAATTTGTTGAGCCAAGTGTGATGACACACACCTGTAATCCCAGCACCCTAAAGGCTGAGGCAGGAGGATTGCTGCCAGCCTCAGGAGGGCATAGGTTACATAGTGAGTTCAAGGTCAGCCTTAACTACAGAACAAGATGCTTTTTCAAAAAAAGTCATGACATTTTGACAAATGTATAAAACTGGAAGGCCCTGCAGAGTAAGCCAGGTGAAAAGGAGTAAGCGGGACTATCGCTTTTCCTTAAGCTTTCTGTGGGCAAAGTAAAAGAGCCCATGTCGAAAACAGCAGTCCTTTTAAACTGAAAAGTCTCAAAGTTTTTGACCAAAAGAAAGCAGAAAACTACAGAAAAAAGAACCAAGAGGAATATATAGCAACAGCAGAAATTCAAGAAAATTGCCAGAAAATAACAGAAAATCAAAGAGTCAAGCAGAGACTCCAGTTGCCACCCAGACTAGGGAGACAAAGACTGGATGAAGCCCTGCGTCAGGAGCCTTCACAAACAACCCAAGTTCTCTCCTGTGACTGAGGAAGAATCTCTCCTTAGACTTAGACTAAGTTCTAAACTGAAACAGATCAGCCCTAGCAAACTAGCAAGTCTCATAATCAACCTTTGGTAGGCTCAAGGCGATCTAGATACCACTCCACATATTAAAGGAAAGCACTCTGGAAGAAAACAACGCATAAACTTGAGTTTCAGAAGTGTTCATCTATGTCTGACATTCTATTAAAAATTATACAGCACTCTATGAGATAAAAATGGTCAACACCCAATGTGACAGTTATAATAATGGCATAAAAGTGAAAACTACAGAAAATGTGGCAGAGACACAGAAACAGGAATTTTCATATATGCTGGAAAGAATGCAAAAAGGTGGTCAGGTCATCACAGACAAAACTTTGGCAGATCCTCAAAAAATTACAGTTACCATACAATGCAGCCATCCTACTACATTTGTACACAGGGAATTCAAAACACACCTGCGCAGAATCTGTACGCCCACATTCACAACAGGAGAAAGATGGGGGAGAAAATCCAAAGCCTACCAACAGATGAACAAAATGGAATATATGACTATAGCTGCTAAAGGACAATTCAGTCACAGAAGTGAAGTAAAATACAAATGAATACATGCCACAAGATAGATGCACTTGAGAATATGTCACATGAAAGAAGCTGCACACGAAAGAGGCTACACATTTTATGATTCTATTTATGTGAAATGCACAAAATAGGTAAATCCAGAGACAAACAGATTAGAGGATGGACAGAAGGGAGAACTGGGATCACCTGACATAAGATATAAGGTTTCTTTTCGGAGTGATGGGAATGTTCTGAAATTAGATAATAGTAATGGCCACACAACTTTGAATATACTTCTTTAAAATAAACCTTGAATTACAGACATAAAATAGTTAAAATGGCAAGTGTTTTATAAATTTCATATTAACCTAAACTTTAAAAAAAGATGAGCTATCAAAAGAAATAGAATAATTATAAAAACACAAGTCATTCAGATTTTGGAATCACTAGAGATTTTTACTAGATTTGATTTTTTCAGGTGAGAAGAAGTAGAAACAGAGAATGTCAACAAAGTTCTAGAAGTCTCATATTTGAGTCAAATGTAAACTCTAGAAAGGGAAATACAATCACTGACATTAAGAAATCAAGTTGCAAACAGTAAATCAGAGGACTGGAGAAGAAATCTTTTGGAAAAAAAACGAAACAAAAGATAAAGGAGAGCACTCTCTTTGGGAGAAAACATGCCTGTAATCCCAGCACTCAGAAGGTTGAAGCAGGAAGATCACTGCAAATTGAGACCAGCCGGGCTACAAAGTGAGTTTAAGGATCTGAACTGCATAGTGATACCCTGCCTCAAAAAGACAAAAAAAAAAGATAAAGGAGAGAAAATATAAGAGTGTTTACAACGTGGAAAAAAAGATTTAACATACATTTAACTGGAATTACAACACAGAAGCTACTGAATAAAACAGTAATAATATTTGGTGATTAATGGTTAATTTTCTAAAGCTTACCAAAGATATGAGTCTCTAGCATATGAATTATGAAGCTCTACAAAACTGAGCAGGATAAAAAGAAAATCTGGTCCTACTTACCTAAAAGTACTAAAAACCAAAGTCAAAGAGAAAATCTTAAAAGCAGTCAGGGAAAATAAGACATATTACCTTAAGACAGAAAGGAGGCTAACAATTAATTTTTATTTTCCTTTTTAAAAAAAAAAAAACAGTGTTAGTTTTCTTATTGGCTATTTTATTATTATTACTTTTATTTTTTAGTATTTTTGAGACTGGGTCTTAATGAATAATCCAGGCTGGCCTTAAACTTACTTTGTAGCCCAAGCTGGCCTCCAACTCACAGTGATCTTCCTGCCTCAGCCTCATAAACAACTAATTTTTCATCAAAAATAATGGAACAAGATAATAAAATGCCATCTCTAAGGTATTAAGACCAAAAAAACCTAAAGCAATCAACCTAGTATTCCACACTAAAAGAAAACATCCTCTCCTAACATAAAATAAATATATTTTCAGATGAAAAAGCTAAGAGATTTACTTATAGGAATTCATCAAGAAAGTGACTCTACTTAGAAAACAAAACTGGAAGAATTCATAAAGAGAAATGAAAGGTAGGTATGTAAGTATACATGCTAATATTGGCATTTAACAGTGACTTCTACACAGGGCTAAAACATATAAAACTATAAAATACAGAAGAAGACTACTATGAAAAACAAAGCTGGGTGTGATGGTGCATGCCTGCAATCCCACAACTCTGGAGGCAGGCGGACTGATGTGGGCTCTAGGCCAGCCTGAACAGCACAGTGAGCTCAAGGCCACCTGAACTGCACTACAAAGCAACTATCTCTAAAAAAAAAAAAGACTAATGACAATAGTTGAGGTGAATTTAAACTATTTATGCTTTCAGGACAACTTCCAGTTTTTAAATGCACGTTAAAGAAATGAAGAAAACCTGAAAAATTAGGGACATTATGTTTCAAACTCCATTAGCTAGGAAGAGACAGTCAACAAAGTACAAAGAACTAACAGACACAAACACAATTCAGTGAAAAAAGCAGCTAAAAAAACTAAGAAAGCAGATAATTAAGAAAGCTTAAAGTTGCTTTCTTTAAAATATTAATAACCAGAAAACCCTACCAGGAATAATCATCAAAAGAAAAACATTGAAATTTTAGAGAAATTGAGGTATGGGCAGTCAACAAATATCCCACAGGTATTTTAAATACAGTA